TGTGTGATAATGTGGCTCCTTAATTTAAAAGTCTTTTGGTACTTGTTCCACATGCTGGTGGAAGCAGGAGGGAACAAACAGCAGAGGAGGGAACCCCGTGACTGCAACACGTCAGAGCCTTATGCTGTCATCATCAGCACCAGAGAGCCACAAGAGGACAGAGCTCTCACTCTGTCAGAGTTTCCGAGGACAGAAACCTCATCTAGCTCTGCACCCATTGGAGGACTGCACATGAGATATAGTGTAATGTGCAATAGATAGATAGATAGATACTTTATTAATTCCTTGGGTATCCAGTAGCTCAGTACTAGAATATAAAATATGAATGAAACCCATCCATCCATTATCTATACACCACTTAATCTTCACTATGGTCGCATGGGGCTGGAGTCTTACCCAGCCTACCCCAACTGACTTTTGTGTGTCTGTCTGTGGAATAATGACTTCTGTGAAAGGAAACTCTACACAGAAACAACCGGTGTCTCTCTTCTTGTCCAGTATGAACAAAGCACTTAGTTTGCAGTGCAGTTTTCAACAAACAGCAGGCTTTGTTTGATTAAAAATGGAAAAAACTAAAGCAAAACTGTTTAAGGTAAAACTAAAGAGGTTCCCTTTAGTGCCTCATAACACAAATATTACTGTATGATGTGATATATGACTAATAACAGACTTTACAGAGCAACATGACAATGAAAAACCACAGATCGTATCAGGAGAGGGACGCAGCATGCCTCACTGCACAATATGTGACTACATGGTGCAAAATAAGGGACACGTGGTCAAACATCAGCACTGTCCTCCATGCACTGGTTGTTTTTTTAAAGGCTTTAAAGAGGTTTTCACCATCATATTTTGCAGAACTCTTGCATCTTAACACTCCAGTTTGAGCACCGAGTTTGACCAACCAGAAGCTCTTGGATGATCTAAGATCCAGACTCATAAAGAGACAAAAAATAGACGACTCAGACTCCAGGGAGCTGTGCGTCACTGCTGAAAACGTACCTCTTCTCACTGAGATTCAATCTAGGTACAGCCTGACAAACAAACTTAATCTTTTATTGTGTTGTAGCTTTTATTTCTATTATTTCTATCATTGTATTATCTTGAGGCTACAAGGTGACTCAGTGGGTAGCATGGTGAGGACACCTGGGATCTTTCTACGTGGAGTCTCCATGTTCTCCCCGTGCAGCGTGGGTTCTCTCCAGGTTCTCCAGCTTCCTCCCACAAGGTCCAGAAACATGTTGAGTTTAATTGGTGATTCTAAATTGTCCGTAGGTGTGAATGTGAGTGTGCTTGGTTGCAGGCCAGCTGACAGCCTTCCCTGGGCCCGGGACAAGATGATATTAGATGCCCCCCCCCCACACACACACACACACATCACCCCTTTTCTTTGCTCTTCCTCACCTGCTCCTCACCTTGCCTCCTCTTATTCTCCTCTATTCTGCTTTCTTTACATGTCTTCCATCCATCCTGATCAGACTGTCCGACTGGGCAGCAAGCCCCTCCCGCTCCACCGTGACTCGCTCCCTCTCAGTCTCATCCGTGGTCTGACTCTGTCCCCCCTGGTGGACCAGCGGGCCCCTTCCTCCTCATCTCTGCTACCTGACGGCAGGTGGATCTTTCGCCTCGGCCTCTCTGTCTCAACCTCTCTGACGGAGCCACTAAACTCGTCCGTTTCTGTCAACAAACCGTGTTTTGTCAGGATTTTGATCACAGCTAATGGATATTAAGAGCTAGCCAAAAAACATCACAAGGCTGACAAACGTTGGCTCCGCTGTTTCTTACCTCGCTCTACGCTGACTTTACTAGTTCTAGCTTCGTTGTCACCACCTTTTTAAAAGTATGTTTTAAGCAAATCTCTAAGGCCTCTATTTTCTTCCTCTCTTTTTCTCTTCTTTTTCCTTTTCTGAGCACCAGACTTCTGCTGAGCGGACAT